GTGGTCCCCCATCCAAGGACCCACCAGGCCAAACCTTGCTTAGCCTCCCAAATCAGACTAGTTCAGCCCCTTACATTGATGAGTAGGGAGTTCCTTGGTCAGCATCAGGTGGCCAACGTTCGTTTCTTGTAACAACCTCCCAATTTTCTCCCGTGGGATTATGACTCTCCTTCGCTTATGCGCTTCCCAATTTTCTGAGGTCTTTCCTAGAAGTGACCGTTGACTCACTCCATCTTTTTCCTATCTACAGTTAGCCTAACTAGAGCCAACATTCAAAGCTTCTTACAACAGTCTGAGGTTATGCTCCAAACGATTCAAAGGGTGTCCTTGCACAATTTGTGTCCTGTGTGCAACAGTGTCGTGCCACATGTATCATCATTTGATGGTGAGGGAATGCCTCCGAGGCCCATGAATTCAGGGGGGCAAAAGACTGGGGGTGGGCAATCAACTCCGGTGGGCTGCCAGGCTAGTTGACCTGTTTCTGAGGGTTTTCAGACAAGCGAAGTGAGGAGGCTAAGCAAAAACGTGAAGGTCAGAAGAACTGGAGTTTACTTCCAAGGCCAACTTTGGGGGCCTGAGAATGTGGCTGCCCATCCTGGTTTCCATACTGTGTTAGTAGTTAAATTTATACCTGACCTTCAAAGCACTGTACAGCCATTACTCTATGCAAGTCCCCAGTTAGGGAAGGCTGCCTCTTCTAGGGGGGTCTGCAAGCTTTGGTCCAAAAGGTTAGTGGGGGCTGAGATGGTGTTGGAGCTGTGCCTGTTTTCTGAGTGTAGTTTCCGTGTATTGAGGGGCGAATTCAGGCATGCCAAGACCAGGAGTGACCAGAAATGGCTAAGAAGTTAAACAGGGTCCCACCTGGTTAACCTTTGGGCAGGAGGCCACTGGGAGGTCTCAGAGATGCAGGCTCTAAGGAGACGTTGAAAGGACATCACAGGAGAAGCAATGACCCTTCTGTGTTGCTGCTAAGAGAAGCAGGAACTACGCTTGATCCCAAAGAAGGCTTTTCTTAATTTTTCTTGGAGAAGCCTCTACAGCAGTGTTTCTCAAACTTGGCAAGGTTAAGACCCACAACTTGAAGTCCTCGTGTCTTAAAGTTGCCCAGTTTGAGAAACGCTGCTCTACAGACTCCCAGTGGAGAATTTAGGACAGTCATTAAGTCTGAAAATTCCGGGGTGGGGGGAATAATGAACCGTGCTCCAAAAGTGAGTGGAGCAGTGGATGAGAGCAAGGGGCTGGTATTAGCGCCATAGTCAGCATTGCTCTCCATTGTCATAGGCACTATGTAGTATGCCAAAGATAGAAGATCCTGCACAAGATTATTTAAGGGGGAGGAACGGTCCCATAGGGGGACGCGGTGGCGCAGCGGCTTAATGACGCTGAAAGTTGCCGGCCAGAAATGGTCGACGCTTCAGCGGTTCGAGTCCAGCCTTT